ATTTAACAAATATGTCACATTAAATCTACTCACTAAAAGTTTATTCTTGAGAGAAAATTTAAAGATGAAGTTTTCGGTCATGTTAACGGAATAAAATTTCTTGACCTTGATGAGTCTGCAGTTCTTGACTTATTAGAATACGAGTTGCCACGTAATCAAGAAATTTATTGGAATCCTTCCGAAGACACTCATCCGAACCAACATTGGATAGATCAGATTCTTGCGATATTTATGTTTGAAAATTCACAATACGATTTCTTAGAATTTTCAAAGTTTCCATTATTACCGATGGAATGGCCAGAAAAAAAGCTCGTCTTATTTAACCCTTATGATCCTTTACTATTCTTACCTCCAGAATTGTATGATTATGGACCAATGATTCCGATATTAGCAAAATTAGGAGTTAGGTTTACTACGTGTAAGCCTCCTCCACAAAATAATGGACTTAATCCAAATCTTGCAATTATTAGAGAATGTATTCTTTTATCAACTCCAACAAACATGGTTGAATCACTTAAAAGAGCCGTTTCAAAATCATCGAAAACATTAGAACAAATATTTTTGGATCTCAATTCAGATGAAATTGAAAAGTTTAGAAATTTTGTTCGGAATGCATCTAGAATCAATTTGGGTAAGCTTTATTAATTCTACGTATGAATAATACATGAAAAAATTGCAATCTAATTCTAATTAAGTTAATTCCCGCTTTATTAGCAAAAGACATCATGCTATACCTAGGTGCATTGCCAATTTGGTCAACACATTTTTAAATAAGTCCCGCATACGTGATGATGATATATAATAATTTTGATGACCAAATGTTCCAACAGTTCCATCAAGTAACGGTACTAAAGTAAGTCCACGGAAATCCATAATTGTTTCATTGTCATTTTGAAACATGAACTTTAGTAAACTGATAACCAAACTGTGAGGCTGGTCAAAAGAATCCCAAACGTTAGGAGTTTCATAAAAAACATTACAAATCAACTGAACGGTGATAGTTTTAGTCATTGGAAGTGATGTCATAAGATCACTCATTTGATTTTCGGTTAATTTTACGGTTGATATATTTAAAGTTGCGAGAACATTAGCAATATTTTTAAGCTTGGGTACTGCAAAATAAGCATCTTTATGAGAGGTAAACATTCCTCCGTTCGCGAGAGTCCAGAAAATCTTGTGATCTCCGAGTTCCAATTGTTGCATTAATTTTTTTACATAGTTTCCGAATATATGATTTGTTTCTCTAACAATTGGCCACAGTATTGTGGATGTAATTGGTTCAAACTGTTTCTTTGGCGATTGTAAGAACCGTTTATGATCTAATAATGCTATATGTTCCAAAAGTTTCGCATGTAAAGGTGGAAGAACATGGAATAAAATATATTCATTCCATTTGTTTTCTGGTGTTTCCAAAAGCATGAAATCGCTATCATATTGCAAAAGACTTTTCCTATCACTAGAAAGAGCGAACGTTCCATTGAGATGGACATTTAAACCAGTGAGGATTGGTAAAGATAAATACGAATACATTCTACCCCTAAGCGTGGGAGGATATGGGAACTAAATTTTAAAATATTTATTAGTAATTATTAGTAATATAGTTATGCGTATCAATATTCACCAATAATTTGAAACATTGATTACCGGTTTTGTTCTTAGTCTATCTAATGGCTCATCAGATTGTGCAAGTATTGAAGCAACACCACCTCTTGGCTAATGGTACAAAATATTAATCAAACAAACGTGTTATAAATTTTATCAGATTTAACAAATATGTCACATTAAATCTACTCACTAAAAGTTTATTCTTGAGAGAAAATGACTCTAAATCATAATTTGCAACTATATCAGCTCCACCGGAACAAATAAGCCAAATTTCAGAAGCTGATCTGATACCACTTAATCTAGTTGTTTCAATTTCGAGTTGAAATAATTGTGATTCAGAAGAAAGTAAAAGTCGCTGTTCACGGATGAGATCCGTTAAATTATCAATCTTGGATTCCCAAAATACCCTCCGATCTTGGTCAGTATTTTGATTTATAAAATGTAAACTACAACTTTCTATATTCCTTAAAAATAACATCTCGTGACTTCCTTGTATTCTACTGAAAATATCGACCAATTCACGAAGGGACGATGCTTTATCTGATATCTCACTTTGTGTTGCCAACAATCTTGTTCTCAAAGGTATTCTAAATAAGGTTCCATTAAACCTTTTACTAAAATCGCATCCTTCAATGTTCATATAAGGTTTGGCTTGGTCAGAATATCGTTTTTTGAAATCCTTTTCGATAAAGTTAATCCTTATACCACGAGGTTTTCTTGGAGGGTTGCCAGTCTTGGGTAACCATTTTTGCGATGGATCTAAGAAAGTGATATATTCACCACTTACAAAACTTATTACATCCGATATATGATAACAACAGTTTAATCCTATTCCAAATCTTCCAATCTTAGTATTATCTTTTGATTTTTCACTTCTTCCTAAATTTCGAAGCGATTTAAAATCTTTTTCAGTGAATTCCGAATCATTATATATCCATAATGCAGGTCCTTGCCAAACGTCCATTTCCGGAGTTAACAATGAAGTATCAGGACTCCGTGTGTTAAAGGATCTATCATCCGCGATTAAATAGAATTTTCTAGCTCCAGCATCGTCCGCATTCTGTATTGAATTTTTTTATATAAATAATGTATTATTTATTGCACAAAAACAATAATCAATTAATTTTATCACTTGCCTGTAAAAATTCTTTAAATAATGAAGCAAGTGGATAATCCTAAATATTATCAAGAGTTAAATATTTGGTCAAAAATTAGTTATAAATTATGGAGTTCTAAATTAATGAATTACATTAATGATATTGCGAATTCTGGCAGTCAATGGTTCACTTTGTTCATAATCTTCCAGATCATCATTAAAATCATCAGCTGTGAAAATAATAAGTGTGTATAACGATAAGATAAGGTCGTACTTAATCTAATAAAGCATTTCAAAGTATCACAACTGCTAAACGTGGATAATGCTTACATTCATCAAGTAATTTTTCAGAAAGCATCCTCATTCCAAGTGATTTAGCAACACCAAATGAAATCAAAGAATGTGCTATTTTAAAATCATTTTTCCTTTCCTCATCCAATCTATTATTCAACATATCATCATATAGAATTTCGCTTAGTTCAACTAATTGACAATCGGTGCTTGGAATCAATAATTTTTCTAATCCATAATCATCCTTTAAATTGTTAATGGAATGACCATAACTGAAACCAATTGGTCTACTAATTCTTTGTGAAATGTGATCAATAAGCATAACAATATTACGTATTTCATCACTTGATAATGTTTTTGTAGCATCCCAACTTTGATATTCCTTAGCCATCTCAATAAAATCCGAAATTCCAATTTTTTGTCTAACACCCATTTCTTCAAACATTGATCTGTATTTGGTTTTATATTCACATGGAAGTTGAACGATCTCTAAAGCACCACTTGTAAAACCTTTCTCAAACTCGAATACGACATTAACAGAAGAATAAAATTTTCCATTACATAAAATCCATTTTCCAGACCCTTCCTTAAGCCCGTTTTTGAACTTTAATATAGATTCATAATCATTCAATGTATATAATTCATTTAGATACTCGTATATTGCGTCGCATATCTTTGGTATATCATGTTGAGTTGGAGAAGTGGAAGACTGTTGTTCTTTGTGTAGTTGTATACAAGAATTAAGTTGCTTGAGAACGACATCCACAGATGGAAATGAATCCCATTGTAAATTCCTGATAAAAAGGTCATTTTTCGGAGAATATTCTATGATTGGAAGAACTAGGCCAACTAAGTTCTTATTTTTTTCACTTCGACAATCTAATGAATTCCAAAATAATTTTTTCCCCAGACGATCTACGGCAGGAATCCAATCTTTACTCATCAAAGTAAGTGCTAATTGTGATGCTTCTTGAGAGATAGAACCATTTGATTGTAAAGAATCAAGACCACCAGAGAGTATAAGATCTTCATAATTTTCATCAATATATTGAAATAATTTTATCGATTTCTGGTAGGTCAACTCCATGAGGCCGTCAACCTCTCTTCGTTTGGTAAAAACAGCTATTCGTTGAACAACATCACTCGGAGAAAGACGTGATTTGATTCCTAACTCTTTCAATAATGGTAAATATCTATACGAGAAATCTGTTGAGAAAATTCCAGCAGGAAACACGCTTTCATCATCAAAAAATAACTCAGAAATAACTTTATTCTCAGGATCATATAGACCACATGGCTTTCTCAAAACATAATTATCAACCATAGACTGATTATTTTTTGACATTAGAATTGTTCCAGCTGGAACAAATTCCATATTATTTAATTCGTATTTTAACTTTATATCTTTTGAAATAAGTTGTGGGAGTCGCTCAAATAATTTTGTGAGCATTATTTTAAAAATGTCAGGAGGTTGAGATCTTAAATAAGGAATCACAAATTTACGCCAATATTCCTCTTGCTTTAATCTTGGAATCCTGAGAATGGTTTCAAGAAGGAATCTTAAATTTGTGGTCGTAACGGCAAGGAAACCAACTGTATTTGAAGCAATTATATGACCATAATCCATTTCGTCCTCAAGAGGAAGTAAATACCATGATCTCGCATCAGGTTTTAGAGATATGAATTCATTTTTTTTACCAACTTCAGTGAAAATTGGAAAATGTTTGATTACATCAATAAGATCAGGCGAATTACTAATACCAGAACTCCTATGGCATAAATAATTAATCAGATCAGCCGTTTCTTGAGGACTCAAATTTTGCTGTACATTTTTTGGAAAATTTTCATTTACAAGAAAGCATTTCAAAACACTGGCAACATTTTTAAGTTTTGTAACAAATTCTGATAACCTAATTTAAAATAAATAAATAAATTTATTATTTGTTAGTATTTATTAATAATTATACGATATACAATTATATAATAATTTAAAATGCTCACTTTAACCAACCCGAGAAATCATGTTTTTCGAAATCTTTATCAACAAATGTGGCGCCAAAATTTTCAAAAATAGGTTGTACTTTGATATCAACATCATCAATACCATTCCAAAAACATTTTTGAGCAGTTTGCAATTTTCTAAGGGTTCCATGATTAGTGGGTAATAAATGAATAGAACGAAATTCATCTAAATCACAACGCGTCTTGTACAAGTTGGACCAAATCCTATAGATCCATTCAATATGATCTTTAGAATCTATCTCATCATCAGTAGCCGAATATCCTTTCAAAGATTTTATAATCATTTCGGACATTGCGGACGGAGTCATAATCTTGATATTGAGGCACCAACCACTTTTTGCACCTTCGTAAAGATGAATCCATAAATCACTAGGAATATCTTTGTCGATTAATTGATTTAGACAATTAGCAAAGATCACTCTTTCATCATTATTTTCAGAGTTTTGCTTCTTGTCAGGACCTATATACGCAATACGTTTAGTTGCACGGGAAATTGTTCCAAAGGTACCATCAGCTAACGGTATCATCTCAAGTCCATCAAAATCAACATATTTTTTATCTTTGAGTATATACGCGAATAATAACAATTTATCTTGTCTGGATAGTTGATCTTTCCACCTTGGGCTATTTCTATGGAGATATTCCCGAAGTATTCGTGGTGAAAATAATTTCAAAGAATATTTATGTCGAGATCGTTCCAACGCTTCTTTCACCTCGGGTTTGACAAAAATAACAGGGAATCCAATACTTTCCATAATATTTGAAATTTCTGGAAGTGCAGAATCATCAGGAAAATAACCATTGGAGATAGATAATAAACGAAAATTGAAATTATTGGACGCGGGAATTTTTTTATATGTTTCAGAGATGCCAAATATGCACCCAGGTTCGTACGATTTTGATGGACCTTGAAATACTTCATCATCTTGTTTAAGATTTTCAACTATATTAAATAATAGATCTTTGCAAAGATTAACAGAAACGCCAGACGTTGAATTTTGAATTATAGGCCAAAAATCGTAATATTCTTGAGATTTGACGAATGGAATCACTGAAGGAAGAGTGATCAAGAATTTGATCCATGCTTGTGGAAGGACAACACCGATAAGATATTGATTCCATGAAACTTTTAATTGGGCTAACGCATTATCAGCCTAAAGATAACAGATAATGAAAATAAATAATCTAAAAAATAAAAGAAATAATTTTAACACGTGATTAAGCTTACCAAATCTTCATTATCCGAGGCGGTCCAAAGAGAACGCCTATTTGCGCTGACCTTTTTAAATTAATTAAGCAAAAGTTTAGCTTTTGACAATAAACTTTTGTTATAAACCTGTAAAAGAAGACATACCGCAAAATGACCATGTACAGAGGCGCGAAATGGCATCGATATAGGTAGTGGAAGAAAGCAAAACAATCTCCCGAAAGCTGTATAATCATCAAATTGAAGAGCAATACCAACATTTGGAATAAATTTGTAATTTTTTCTTGAATTACTTTGAAACTTTTCTTCTACATTATTTAAATCACCAAGCCAATTAAATATAATCCACTGACTAACTTTTACTTTTTCAAAACCCATTTTTTGGTGGAAGATAGCAACATATACAGACTCCAAAGAAGTAATGTTAGTGTGCTTTCTAGATGATAAAGAATTCATGATAGGACCTATATTTTGTTCGATTAATTCCCTTTTTACACGAACTTTATCAGCATTTGCAAGTTCAATTTGGTAAAGTAACTTTGGATCCGATTCATTAACACCAAGTTCATAAAATTTAATACACTCAATATGTTTCAAGAATAAAAGACAATTTATACTCTCATTCTCATAAAACTTGTGAAACATTTCCAGGATTTGATCAGGACTATATTCCTTATCAGATATTTTTGATTCGATGGCATCTTGTGCAGTGCGTAAAGGATAACGGAATATAGTGCCCTGAAAACTTTTATCACGTGGAATATGATAAGGAGAAAAAGGAGAAAACTGATCTGGGTAATTAATAGCCATTTTATTTTGAACAAAGTCAAATTTGATACCACCATCGAAATATCGCTCATGAGGCTAGGGATGAACAGAAATTAATAATTTGATTATATTATTTGTTAAGAACTCTAATTAATGAAAAAGGTTAAGTTCAAACACCTACGTCAAGAATCACATAATTATCGCCAGTTATAAAACTAGGTAAATCTGTTATATGGTATACAGAATTAAAACCTAGACCCATTGCTGTTATCGTAATAATAATAATATAAATAAAAGTTAACTTTAATGTTCTAATGTATACACAACATATACACACGATTCCTATCGACAATATCGATAGTATTATTTTTAATCTACTTACCACCAATCTTATCGAATTGATCATACTTTTCACTATCAGCCAATTTTAACAATGACTTGAAATCACGCTCTTCAAAAATTGTATCATTTCTTGACAAAAGAGCCGGCCCTTGGTACCTATCTAATTTCAAATTTGTTTCATTATAACCGTTTAATCTTGGCTCTAGTAAACTCTTTGTCGGGTAGGTATTTCGATCTATAAAGAAAGGGATTTTTAGTTATTACAGTGTTATTGAATAATAAAGCTTTAAAACAAGATAAAAGACCAAAAAATTGAAAATGTATCATACCAAGGATGAATGATTGACATCTACTTTTCGCATCATCAGAATTTTGAAGAATTTCTCGAAGAATTTGAGAACCATCCGGATATTCATCAAGAATCTTACTCAGTCGATTAGTATAAGATTCACCGGGCTTAAAAATTTCACCTTGAATATCTATTCGAGACATTAGCTTCAATATTTGTTTATATTTTGAAGGAGCAATTATTATTATTCGTTATAAGAAACGTTTTATTCAAAATTCGGAAGCTGTGCTCCGGTAACAGAGTCACGAATTAAGCTATGGCTAGGATCTGCAAACTAAAAAGCCATAGTTTCTTACACAATGTGACATAAATAATGGTTTATAAGGCGTACCACTCCGACGCAATGTCAAGTTTCTGTCATAATGACTGAGTCATTCATATTTAAGACAATAAAAAAGAAACAATGATTTTAGCATTGGCTGAGATTTAGTTAAAAATCAAGATTGTAAACAGAAATCTTAATCAAGTAATATTGGTATTAGACGATCGTTACCTGAACTTTAAGATGTTTTGATGACTAGAAAATGCTCTCGAAACTTTAAATGGCAATATCGTGATATTTGTGTTTAGATGATCTTTGAAAACGATGCTTCGGTAGTCACCTCTTAATTACAGCATTTAAACCATGAAATTTAAATAAGCAATGAATTTAAAATATTTTTATTGGTATTTTCAATTATATGTGTCGATCTATGTGTCGATCTATAGTCGCCGAATGGATAATCCAATATTCTGTATATTTATACTGTAATATATAAAATCGTGCATCAATTCTATTGAGCACGTGAAAATTTGCCAATATGCGCATTTAAATGTTGATTTAATTGTATGTAGGTTTATATTACTATCTAAATAATTGTTACACTATTGTTATGTTCGCGTAAAGAATAAAAAGAAAAAGCTTGCATATTTAAGTTTAGATGTACGTACGTACGTATATACACTGAATAGAGATAATTTTGGTTCTAAATTTTTAAAATTTTGTATAACGACAATGATCATATGCTACGCCTAATTTCTAGAAATGCATTTGAACTATGGCGCAAAATCTAATCATTAAATCATTTATCAAATTTGGCAATTATAAATATAAGGATTAGTGTAATGACAAACGGAAACTCGGTTTTGGTGTATATTTTTGGCATTTTAGTTTTCCCAAAAAAATTCAAGCATAAATTCTTTTTTATTGGCTAATATTTGTTAGTAAATTTTATTGTTACCGTTACACGAATCATTACGGCGCACTTACCAAAATAAAGCTAAAGTTTGGTCACTAAATCTAAGTATTTCTGTATTCGGTATGCAGATTTAAATATTAGTCACAAGATTACAAACTTATCTGAATTCAAAATATTCAATTTTTACATAATGAAATTTTAAATATATTGACAAGTTTTTGCATAAAATTTAGGGTGTTCTCAATCATCTAAATAAATATGTCTGAGTTCAATTTTTAATTAGTAGAAAATAAATTTTTCGGTCAAGTGAGTTCATTATCTCGATGAAAAAAAAAAGATGGTCAGAGACAATCTTTTTTATCATTAAGTTGTGTTGATTGGCTAAAATTTAATATCCGCGTTTCGCAACGTGAATTTTCGACAAAATTACCTTAAGGTCTACTTCAATTAATCTAGTACTTGTGCACGATCTCTATAGCTAGCTAATTACACTGAGAGAGATGCTTGAGAGCACCCTTAAATAATAATTATATAAATAAAACTTTAAAAATATTTAAAGTTAATAGATATGATTTTAGTATGTTGCCAGTAGTAGATTGCATTACCAAATAATACTTTTTAAAACTAATTATCTACAATTTAAAAAATTAATATTTTTTTTAGAATAAATGTATATATCGCACTATGCGATTCACTTGTATATCGCAGACAACACCAGGGCGACCCCTCCGAAGTTCGGGTTGATGGTCATTGTTATTGCTGCAACATATATTTAGTAAACGATTTGATTGACTTTATGTGTAAATTAGCTGCAGATTAGCCTACATTATGTAACACGATATAATTTGACCAGAATTATATGCTGCAGCAATGATATTGATCATCAACCCGAACTTCGGGTACCCTGGTTAATTCTCAACCCAAAATTTTTCAAAGTAAAAATCTACGTTATTACATTAGGGTAGGTAATTGCCATTAAGTTAGAGCTTAAAAGTGTTTCTTATATCAAAATTTTGCAAGGAAAATTTTTTATTAGTACGCAGAAGGCGATTTCATAGACAAATTTTGAGTTGTGTGCGATTTTTGACAAAGCGAATGTTTGTTTTGAATTTTCCTGATCGACCCAGTCTTAACTACTTACCTGAATCACTGAAGCTAGAGCCAAAAACTAGCTTCTTTTGATTTTGAAAAACTTTAATATCAACCAATTTCAGAACAAACAACTTTTAATTTTTACCAACCTAAATGCTGCTAACTTAACTAGCCTTCTGTTCTTTTACAGTATTCAAACACCAACCTGGCAAGGTTCAACTACTGCCAGTCAAATAGATGACTTTTAAATTTCTTCAGACATACTTCTGGCATTTAACTCTCTTTTACTAATTGATGCTTTCTATATATCAGACAGCAACTATCACATTTTACATATAACATAGTATACAAATTTTTTATCACAAAAAAATACCAGAAACAAAAAGAAAAAGTAGAAAATATATTTATATGAAAAAATGATATCAGAAGATTGAGATAAATTTGGAAAATCAATAAATGATCTACTTAACCAATAACCTATTCTTTTCTCAAACATGGATAAAGACAACACAAACAAGGTTTGAAATTTCTAAGTAGCAAAGTTAAAAAAGTAATAAACAAATATATTTTATATACCTTTATTTACTGTCCTAAACCCTTTTTTGCTCTTTTGTTAAAAGCAACTAAGCTACATTCTGCTCTAAAAATATCAACAAGTATTTAAATTGTCTTTTAAGCAGCTTCTAAATAATCTATCTAAAATAATCTAATATTTATTCAAGATAGCTACTTTAGCAGAAATAGCATTCTTTTAATAATATAAAAACAACTTACATCTTTTCTATTTAATCCTATAAATCAAATTAAACAGCACAAACATACAATCTAGCAAGCATATAAGATAATAAGTTTTTATAGCTTTTTTTAGAATATATATTCTTATAAAAGTTTTATATAAAGTAAATATATGAATTAAGTTAAATGCTTTTAATATATCTTGTAAAATAATCTAAATTTCTTTTTTGTTTGTAGCCTCTGCAACTCTTATAATCATTTATTTGTATCTTTATACTGTGTACTTATTTTTAAACAAAAACTCCTATAAG